GATGACTTTTTGTGAACTGATTTTGGTTTTGATAAAAAGAAAAATCACTATTGTAATAGGTTTGATTTTATTGTTTTTGATTAGACACAATCAAAACAATTGTTTCAAAATTATTTCATCTTTGTGATTCATGTTCACTGTATTATTCTAGTGCTGCTTAGAATTTGAGCAAATCATGTTTAAGTATCTATTATCAAATTATTATCAATTATTATCAAATTTACATCCAGTATTTGGAAACAATAAAAGCTCTTTTAGCTTTTACGATCATTTTTTTTCTTTCCATGTCTGATAATAAATTGATGGTTTGGGTTTTAAACTGTTAAAAAAATTAACTAAATCCAAAGGAAACAAAATCATTTCTGTTCATATTTTCTAGTTGGGTTTATGAACCTGTTTTACTAGAATGAGTCACTGGAACCAGTGGATTATCTCTGTTTGTTAGGAAGCTGCTTGTTGGGATGACAACTCTGGCTCAAACTGAACCGCCGGTGTTTACAAATTCAGTTTTCAAAGTGCTCCAATAGGTCAGTTATGGCGTTAGATAACCCCATAAGAAACCTCGGTTCACTTATGAAGTTATGGTGTAAAACTTTAGGGTGCTTTTCCTTCTGCTCCCAGAGGTGCCAGAGAAACCAAAATTACAGGACGTGAAGCCGGGGCAGCCTACTACCTGCATGAAAAACCAAAGATTTAAATGATTAGAACACCTGTAAACACTGTCTCATATTCAGGGAAGAAAGATCCAGTATAACCAGTTCAACCACTCAAACATAGAGGCAGGTTCAAACAGCACATTTCCTGGTTCTTCCCCTTAAACAATCTGAAAGACAAAGGATCAGAACATTCAGCGTCAGGAAAAGTTCAGGAGCACAGCAATTAGAAAAGACGAGGTTTTGGCTTTTTCTGTCGAAGCTTAATTTGATTTAAAAGATCCCCGTGTTACTCAGAACTGAAATGGAGGAGCCAGGAAATCAGATGGATTCCATAACATTCTCTTGTTCCATCTGTTTGGATTTACTGAAGGATTGACTATTCCCTGTGGACACAGCTACTGTATGAACTGTATTAAGGACTTCTGGGATGGAGAAGATCAGAGGGGAATTCACAGCTGCCCACAGTGCAGACAGAAATCCAAACTGAGGCCTGTCTTGGTGAAAAATGTGCTGTTAGCAGATTTGGTGGAGGATCTGAAGAGAACTGGACTCCAAGCTGCTCCAGCTGATCACTGCTATGCTGGACCTGAAGATGTGGCCTGTGATGTCTGCACTGGGAGGAAGAGGAAAGCTGTCAAGTCCTGCTTGGTCTGTTTGGCTTCTTATTGTGCGACTCATATTAAACATCACTATGAGGTGCCTGCACTGAAAAAACACCAACTTTTCAACCCCTCCAAGAAACTCCATGAGAGCCTCAGTTCTCTTCATGATGAGATGATGAAGATCTTAATGAATGAATTTGAAACGGTCTCGGCTGCCGCAGAAATGACTGAGAAGCAGAAGAAGCTCCAGGAGAGTCGACAACAAATCCATCAGAGAATCCAGGACCAAGAGAAAGATATGAAGCTGCTTCAACAGGAGGTGGAGGCCATCAATGTCTCTGCTGATAAAGCAGTGGAGGACAGTGAGAAGATCTTCACTGAGCTGATCCGTCTCCTCCAGAAAAGAAGCTCTGATGTGAAGCAGCAGATCAGATCCCAGCAGGAAACTGAAGTGAGTCGAGTCAAAGATGTTCAGGAGAAGCTGCAGCAGGAGATCACTGAGCTGAAGAGGAAAGACGCTGAGCTGGAGCAGCTCTCACACACAGAGGATCACACCCAGTTTCTCCTCAACTACCCCTCACTGCCAGCACTCAGTGAGTCTACAGGATCATCCAGCATCAACATCCGTCCTCTGAGACACTTTGAGGACGTGACAGCAGCTGTATCAGAGCTCAGAGACAAATTACAGGACATCCTGAGAGACACAGGGACAAACATTCAACTGGCAATAAGTGATGTTGATGTTCTGCTGTCAGAACCAAAACCGAAGACAAGAGCTGAATTTTTGAAATATTCAACAGAAATTACTCTGGATCCAAACACAGCTCATACACAGCTGTTATTAACTGAGAGGAACAAAAAAGTAACAATAATGAAACAACAACAATCTTTTTCTCATCATCCAGACAGATTTACATTTTATGATCAAGTTCTGGGCGTCCAGAGTCTGACTGGACGTTGTTACTGGGAGGTGGAGTGGAGAGCTGAAGCAATCCATGTTGCTGTTTCCTACAAAGACATCAGCAGAGATGGGACTGCAGATGAATGTGTGTTTGGATTCAATGACAAATCTTGGGTGTTAAGTTGTTATGCAAAGGGTTATACATCTTTACACAATAGAGTTAAAACTCAGGTACCAGGTCCAGTTTCCTCCAGAATAGGAGTGTATCTGGATCACACAGCAGGCATTCTGTCTTTCTACAGCGTCTCTGAAACCATGACTCTCCTGCACAGAGTCCAGACCAGATTCACTCAGCCGCTACATGCTGGGATCCGACTTTTTGATCTGGGAGACTCTGCAGAGTTCAATATAACTGAGTAGAACAGCAAAGAATCGCAACAAAATACTTAGCTATGACAGGTCAGAATGAAAAATACCTTTCATTTTCAGTGATTTTCAAACAATAGAAAAAGAAAAACTTAACAGTATTTCTGCTTTGAAATATTCACATTGAAAACAAAAATCAATGAAGGAAAATGTTTTAATCTGCAATCATAAGTTAATGTAGATTTTGAAAAGTGTGTAAAAATGAATTGTTCTTAAATAGGCTACATGATAGGTTATATGAAATAATGTTTTACTAAAATATTCTTGTTCAAATTTAACAGGTTAGAATTTATGATTTATATTTTCATGTCAAATATTTTTTCTTATTTCCTCCAATGTGCAAGAGAGAAGCACACAAATGATATGAAGACATTTTTCATTTTAGTAAGTTTATACTTTAAATATTTTCTTGTTGATTTATATTTTCTGACTGTTATGCTAATAAAAGTCTCCACAGAAAGAAATGAGTCTCCATCTTGTTTAAAAGGCATCAACCTGCTAAAGTACAGACACCACTTCAACATTTCCCAATACAACCAGTTGTAAAACTGGCATGTTAGTTATTGCAGATCAAATTTGTCATGTAAAGTCAGATAGCATGTTAGCTGTAGCTAATAAGCAAATATAGCTAGTAACAGAATGTTGGCTAAAGGAGGCTAATGCAGCCATTAACTTCTTACTTTTCTTTCACATACAAGCCACTCCTAGACCAGTTCTGGTTCTCCTGGAGTTTTATTGCCTTTAAGAGTTTTACTGTTTGCTACATATATCCTCAGAGAGATTTCTGCAAAGCCAGCAGCACAATGCAACAAACAGTCCGGTTGTTACATACTCATTAATGAGGAGTTATTGCTGCAAGGCAATGGCTTGATGTAATCTCTTACATACTTTCTTAGAAAGAAAAGTTTTTAACCAATTTTACTAGTAAGCTGAAGTTGTCTAATTGGATGGACTTTTTATATGTGTTATTTAGTAAGAGCAATGCTGTATATAAATAAATATACAGAAAATGGTCAACTGGAGTCCAGAGTCTGAAGTAAAATGTTTAAAACACAAGAAATGATGTGAGAAATGCAGCAGCAGTCTGAAGTCTTTGCAGATAATTTGCCCCTCCCAACCGCAGCTCTGGGTTAAACTCCTCCTTTGGGTTCAACACCGAGTTCAGCTGTGCTGCTGCATTTCCTGCTTCCTTCGTCTCACTCCTCTGAAAGCTTCAAGATCAGTAGAATCACGCAGTTGATCACAAACTGCTGCTGATCAGTAAGTAACAAACTGGAGTTTGGCTGCTTATGGGACAAATCAGGAAGAAAAACCTGAGACATTCAGAGTTTTTGAGAAGGGAAAAGACTGAGAGGAATCAGATCTGTTTGGATCTACTGAAGGATCTGATGACTATAACCTGTGAACACAATTACTGCATTAACCTCATTATTATAGTTATTAACAACAACAATAATAATAATTCATTTTATTGATGACACCCTTCGTATTTACTGAAATCTTCAGTAAACATGTTCAACAATCAAATGCAAATAAAAACGCAAGTATGATAAAGTAAAACAGGAACCTTACAGATTAGGTATTAAAACAGGATGTTTTGTTTAAAGGGAGAACATGGAAAAACACTTCATTCAAAGAAAAAGCAGCGTATTTCGGTTGAGGTACAAGTTGATTATGTTGAGCATGGTGAGTATTAGTGACTTTTCTCAGCTTTGTATGTGTGATTAATTTGCAATCTGGACACAGAGCAGAATGGGTTTCCATTCCTGCATGTCCTGCAGTTGGTTTGCTGCACGACAGCTGACTGAGACCAACTGCAGTCCTCAGGAAGCAGGAGGGACCGCACTGCTCACTCTGACCAGCTTTTGAAGAGGAATTGGAGTTTTAAAAGTTGTCATTAAAAGTCTCTAATTACAGAAAAAATTAGCTTGACTGTTTTCCTTGTTGCTCTTTTGAAAAAGAGGGTCTGAAAATTTACTAAGTATGACAACAAAGTCTCTAAGTTGTCAACTGTGTCTCTTTGGTCTTGTCCAGAGGTGCACATACTCCCTCCATTTAGCCGCAAATGGTGCATTCCCATGAAGACAGAGAAAAGGAGATTTTGTAGATCTTAGCAGGGACAGCAAATCAGGATGAAGAACAGAAATTATGTGTTTCATGTCAAGGTACTCTCATTAGGGTCCTGGTAGACTGTTCTGCATTTATCGTGTTTTTTGTATGTCTTTCCTAGGAATCCCAAAGAGAAGTTCATTACAGTAATCAAGTCTGGAGACGACGAAGGCATAAACAAACTTCTCTACATCTTTCCCAGAAGTTAAAGACTTCTGGGAAAATCAAAGGAAAACCACAACAGGCCTGGTGAAGGAAACAGTTCATACTGAGTCCTGCTGGTGAAAAATCTGAAAAAGACTCCAACTTGAACCAACTGCTTCAGGTTTCTGCTAACCCTAAACCTGCCCTCGTCATGATGAGGTGATGAAGATCCTCCATAGTACTGATCAGGATTGTATCTGTTATTTCTGCACTATGGCTGAACTTAAAGGTCATGAAACAGTCCCAGCTGCAGCAGAACCAGAACAAAAGGGCAGAGATGAATTCTTAAAATATTCACAAGAAATCACTCTGGATCCAAATACTGTGAACGGGTTTCTGATATTGTCTGAGGGGAGCAGAAAAGTGACAAGAGGGGAAGAACAACAGTCTCATCCTGATCACCCAGACAGATTCGCTGGTTTTTGGTTTCAGGTCCTGAGCAGAGAGAGTCTAACTGGTCGTTGTTACTGGGAGGTGGAGTGGAGAGGAAGATTAGTTTATGTTGCAGTTTCATACAAAAACATCAGCAGAGCAGAAAGATGTAAGGAATGTTTTTTTGGACTTAATGATAAATCTTGGTCATTACGTTGTGACAGAAAAAGTTACACATTTTGGCACAATGACATTGACACTCCAGTACCAGGTCCAGTTTCCTCCAGAGTGGGAGTGTACCTGGACCACACAGCAGGTATTCTGTGTTTCTACAGCGTCTCTGAAGCCATGACTCTCCTGCACAGAGTCCAGACCAGATTCACTCAGCCGCTACATGCTGGAGTTTATATTTATCATGGCTCCTCTGCTGAGTTCATTAAGATGAAATAGTCAGCAGTGATCTGAGGTGGCTGGGCCCAGATTTAGTGAGACATAGCGGAGTTGGATTCTTCCTGAGATTCCTCTATTATTATTAACTATGATCAGAAGTAGAGCAATGGTGATCATTTCACCATCAGTGGCATGACGCCACTGAAGCACATCTGTGCTTTATAGACGCTAACTAATTTCCAGGTCAGCAGAACATTAACTGATGTAACTAACACTACAAAGTTTTGTAGAAAATGTTTTAATGACATTTGTATGCATTAAAATGTTATAAAAATCTGTAGTTTCTGCCTTATTGATGCTGAATGCCAATTATATATCTTTTTCCCCATGCAATAAATTCTCTGTCTCAAATAATGTCAATCTACTCTACAAATAAAAATCTTATAAATTGTTTCTTAGAGACTTAATGAGTCGAAGAACTCATATTTATTTCTTTAATTAAAAGAGAAAAGGGAGAGCATTACAATAAGCAAATCAAAGCTGAAGTTTGTATGTTTGTGTTTCCCTTAGAAAACCAACCAGTTCAGCAGGTTAAAAACATTATGACATAAATTGTTTCCTTCCTCAGGCAACACAGATAAAGGTGTCCAAAACTTATTCAATACTTCATTAGATAATACCCCAAGTTACCCAAAGAAATTAGGTAAATCTTTTTAACAGTCAAGTGTTAAGATTGGAGATGAAGTTAGCTCCAGTGTAGGCTGATGGTGCAGATTTAAACTGATTTTTCACATGGATTGAAATATGGCATGACGCCACTCCCATCTTGAAAAAGAAGGCAGTTTAACAGTTTATTTCCTGGTTCTTTCAAAACCTCAGACAAAGTCCAAGCCACTGCATTGTGAATTTGAGGAGTCGACAAATCAACCTGCTGAAGCTCGATGAGAAAAAGACAAATTCTGGTTTGGCTTATTCTGAAGCACATCTGTTTGCAAAAAAGGAAAGAAATACTACAGACGTTCAAGGTGAAATGGCACAGAGGCGAAATCAGAAAGAGTCAGCTAAATACTCTTGTTCCATCTGTTTGGATCTACTGAAGGATCCGGTGACTCTTCCCTGTGGACACAGTTACTGTATGAACTGCATTAATGACCACTGGGATGGAGAAGATCAGAGGAGAATCCACAGCTGCCCTCAGTGCAGGAAAGAGTTCATACCGAGGCCCAACCTGGAGAAAAACATCATGTTAGCTGATTTGGTGGAAGATTTGAAGAAGACTGGACTCCAAGCTGACCACTGCTATGCTGGACCTAAAGATGTGGCCTGTGATTTTTGCAGTGGAAGGAAGAGGAAAGCTGTCAAGTCCTGTCTAGTTTGTTTGGTGTCTTACTCCCAAAAGCACCTTCAACCTCACTATGAATCACCTACGTTTAAAAAACATCATCTGGTTGAAGCATCTACTGAACTTCAGCAGAGGATCTGCTCTCGTCATGATGAGGTGATGAAGATCTTCTGTCGTACTGATCAGCTGTGTATCTGTTATCTCTGCACTATGGATGAACATAAAGGCCATGAAACAGTCCCAGCTGCAGCAGAAATGGCTGAGAAGCAGAAGAAGCTCCAGGAGAGTCGACAACAAATCCATCAGAGAATCCAGGACCAAGAGAAAGATGTGAAGCTGCTTCAACAGGAGGTGGAGGCCATCAATGTCTCTGCTGATAAAGCAGTGGAGGACAGTGAGAAGATCTTCACTGAGATGATCCGTCTAATCCAGGAAAGAAGCTCTAAAGTGAAGCAGCAGATCAGATCCCAGCAGGAAACTGAAGTGAGTCGAGTCAAAGATGTTCAGGAGAAGCTGCAGCAGGAGATCACTGAGCTGAAGAGGAAAGACGCTGAGCTGGAGCAGCTCTCACACACAGAGGATCACATCCAGTTTCTCCTCAACTACCCCTCACTGCCAGCACTCAGTGAGTCTACAGGATCATCCAGCATCAAGATCCGTCCTCTGAGACACTTTGAGGACGTGACAGCAGCTGTGTCAGAGCTCAGAGACATCGTACAGGACATCCTAAGAGACCCATGGACAAACATCTCATTGGCAAAAACTACAGTAAAGGTTTTGCTGTCAGAACCAGAACCAAAGACCAGAGCTGGATTCTTAAAATATTCACAAAAAGTCACTCTGGATCCAAACACAGCACACAGGAAGCTGTTTTTATCAGACGGAAATAGGAAAGTAACATCAAAACTTTCCTCAACTTCTGTATTACGGTATCATTTCAGTGATCCAAGCAGATTCACTGATTATAATCAGGTTCTGAGTAAAGAGGGTCTGACTGGACGTAGTTACTGGGGTGGAGTGGAGAGGAGGAAGAGTTGCTGTAGCAGTTTCATACAAGAACATAAGCACAGAAGGAAGGTCAGATAAGTGTTTATTTTGATTCAATAACAAATCTTGGGCATTATATTGCGGCAGAAACAGTTACACTTTTCATCACAAACATTGAAACTCCTGTACCAGGTCCAGTTTCCTCCAGAGTGGGAGTGTACCTGGATCACAGGGCAGGTATTCTGTGTTTCTACAGCGTTTCTGAATCCATGTCTCTCCTCCACAGAGTCCAGACCAGATTCACTCAGCCGCTACATGCTGGGGTCCGACTATTTGATGAGGCAGATTTTGTTGAGTTCATTAAAGTCAAATAGAGTCAGAACAGCATAAATGAACCAGTGAGATATTCACACCTAGGGGCAATGGGAAGAAGCCAGAGTACCCAGAGACAACCCATCCACCAGGGACAACATCCAAACTCCATGCAGAAAGACCCCGGGACGGGAATTGTACCCAGGGCCTTCTTGCTGTAAGGCAACAATGCTACGAACCATCGCACTGTGCAGCACACGTGATAAGACTAAACACAAAAGAAAATATTCAAAGTTGAACTGGGCGAAGATTTTAGCAAGTCAAGACGCATAACTCTGAGGGAAAGCTCATTGATGCAAGAGTAATAGAGAGAAAACTGGTTTAACACGTTCTAATTATATAACTTCTTTCTCAATGCAACTTTTAAGAAAATTAGTCATCATATCCCCACATATCAAAGTGGTTCTAAATAATGAAATGCATTTTACTGTATTTGAATATATCTGAGAGGATAGATTATGTCTGTTTGCCTTTTGAAAAGTGCCTTAAGACATCTGTTGTAAATTTCTCCAATTTTAATGCGATGAATAAAATGAAATTAAATGGATGGATATGTCCTATTGACTTCAAGGCATCAGTATGTAATTTTTCATCAGTACCTCTTCAGTAACCACTACCTTATCAAGAAGTTCACTCTGCAAAAACAACCTCTGTCCTCTAGAGTACTGATAACAGCAATAAAAGCCACTCCCATTTGTCAGGTAAACAGTAGGGAGTGGCTGGTTGTTCATTTCCCTAAAGGAAGAGTCACACAGTATTACTGAAACTCTGCAGCAGAAACATCAGATGGATTCTGCTAAATTAACTTGTTGTATTTGTTTGGATCTGCTGAAGAGTCCGGCAACTATCCCCTGTGGACACAGCTACTGTATGAACTGCATCAGGTCTTGCTGGGATCGGGAAGATCAAAAAGGAGTCTACAGCTGCCCTCAGTGCAGGAAAAGGTTCACAACAAGGCCCGGCCTGGTCAAAAACATTGTGCTTTCAGAGTTGGTGGAAGATCTTAAGAAGACTGGACTACAAGCGGCTCCAGCTGATCATTACTATGCTGGACCTGAAGATGTGGCCTGCGATGTCTGCAGTGGGAGGAAGATGAAAGCTGTAAAGAACTGTCTGGTTTGCTTAGCCTCGTTTTGTGAGAAACACATCCAACCTCATTATGAGTCTTTTACTTTTAGTAAACATAAACTTGTTGAAGTTTCAGTGAAGCCCCAGCAGAACTTCAGCTCTCGTCATGATGAAGTGATGAAGATTTTATTCGATAAATATAAAAGAGATCCAAATGCAGCAGAAAGGACAGACAAGCCGGAGTTTGAAGTAATGCGACAACAACTCAAGCAGAGACATCAGAACCAAGAGAAAGATGTGAAAGTGGTTCAACAGAAGATGAGGAGCATCAGCGTCTCAGATGATAAGCAGAGGATACCAAGGTGTCACTTCCCTCCTCTAACAAAAAGAGGGTGAAGAGCAGACCTTTATCAGTGCCGATACCGCCTGGTCCAGACCCAGTCCCAGGTGGTGGGTCTCTCCAAACATGAAGAAATTGATCAAAAACTTCAACAAAGATAAACCAGCCCTGTTCCCACCTCCATTCCAACAAAGATTTGTGGTAAATGTGGCAAGGATTTGTCCAGCACTCAACCAGCTTTGAAGGCAATGGGCAAAGTTTTCCACTTCAGCTGTTTCTGCTGCATCAGATGTCATCGCCCCCTGCAGGGCTTGCAGTTCTACACAAGGAAGGCTCACCAGAATGTGAAAGTTGCTACGTGACATCCCTGTCTTCCTGCTCTCAATGCGGAGAGAAAATCACTGACCGTATCCTGAAGGCCATGGGAAAGTGCTTCCATGTCCGGTGCTTCCTGTGCAGCACCTGCTCCTGCATGCTGGATGGACTCCCATTTATTGCAGGTGAAGTCAACAAGCCCTACTGTGAACAGGATTACCACAAGCATTTCTCTCCTCAGTGTGAAACCTGTAAAGAACCCATTGTTCCGGCTGCGGGCAGTGATGAAATGATAAAACTGGTGGCTCTGGGGAAGAACTACCACATCGAGTGTTACCACTGTGAGGACTGTGATCGACCATTGTCAACAGAAGTAGATAAATATCAAGGTTATTCTCTAAATGGCAGGGTTCTGTGTATTAAGTGTCACAGCAAGAGAACCAGGAAGTGATTGACTGATGTGGGATCTTTAGGTTGGACCAAATTTAAAAGCATGATTTCTCTTAACATTTTTTTTGATAAGTTTCATACAAGTTCTGCACTGAATAAAATCTGGTTTATTGCAGATCTATATAAGTCTTCCAACCAAGTTTGTTGTTAGAAATACATAATGTTTTAAAGCACTTAGCAGATTTTTAATACAATACTTGTTTTCATATACACGGTCAAATTCAACAATATGTGTTCAGATGAGGCTCATTTGTCGAATTAAAAGTATCATTTTGACAATAATCCTTAATCAGGTGTTAGACATACTTTTCATTAAGTCCATATTTCTGTATTAGAATATTTGTTTTGCCTGATGTAATATTCTAATCTTAAATGTCATGTTTTTTGTTAGCTGTAAGTATAAAATCATCATGATCAAGAGAAATAAAGGTTTGGAAGAATCATTCTGTGAGTAATTAAAAACAACAGTTAGAGAACTGAAAATTATACTAAAAGTATTGCAGCATATTTTAGTTGGTTGTCAAAAGACCAACTGGATGAATATATGGTACTTAGAGTGACAAAATAATGAAGTAAACTTGAATATAAAATACATATTTCAACAGAAAAAACTGACATCCAAATATAAGTTGTTACGCACCATAAATCTTTCAAACCAAAACAGCAACAGGTGGTTTATACAAGCTGAAGCAGTGCAACATACTTCCAGTAGCATTGGCTTTTACTTGATCTGTAACATTAACACACACAAATTACTTTGTGAGACAAATAGAACAAAGCCTGAAAACCGACTGAATACTTCTGGAGATAGCAGGTGAAGGTAAGATAAATGTATATTTCTACTGTAGACTCAAACTTGTCTTTGACTTGTCGTAAAGCAAACAGTCACTCCCCTCTCTGCAACACAAGTTCAGATCTGACAGTCGACAAGTTATTTCCTGGTTCCTCCCTTTTAAAGGTCAAGGCTTGGTAGAATTTCTGTACTGTAAAGAGCAGGACCTGACAATTGCTGAGTACGCAGAGCAGCGAGGGATAAACATGGATTCATCTAAATACTCCTGTTCCATCTGTTTGGATCTACTGAAGGATCCGGTGACTATTCCCTGTGGACACAGCTACTGTATGAAATGTATCAAAGACTTCTGGGATGGAGAAGAGCAGAGAAAAATCTACGGCTGCCCTCAGTGCAGGAAAAAGTTCATGCCAAGGCCTAACATGGAGAAAAACATCATGCTATCAGAGTTGGTGGAGGATCTGAAGAAGACTGGACTCCAAGCTGCTCCTGCTGATCACTGCTATGCTGGACCTGAAGATGTGGCCTGTGATGTCTGCAGTGGGAGGAAGAGGAAAGCTGTCAAGTCCTGCCTGGTCTGTTTGGCTTCCTATTGCCAAAAACACCTTCAACCTCACTATGAATCACCTGCGTTTAAAAAGCATAATCTGGTTGAAGCATCTACTAAATTTCTGCAGAACATCTGCTCTCGTCATGATGAGGTGATGAAGATCTTCTGTCGTACTGATCAGCAGAGTATCTGTTATCTCTGCACTATGGAGGAACATAAAGGCCATGAAACAGTCCCAGCTGCAGCAGAAAGAGCTGAGAAGCAGAAGAAGCTCCAGGAGAGTCGACAACAAATCCATCAGAGAAATCCAGGACCAAGAGAGATGTGTGATGCTTCAACAGGAGGTGGAGGCCATCAATGTCTCTGCTGATAAAGCAGTGGAGGACAGTGAGAAGATCTTCACTGAGCTGATCCGTCTCCTCCAGGAAAGAAGCTCTGATGTGAAGCAGCAGATCAGATCCCAGCAGGAAACTGAAGTGAGTCGAGTCAAGATGTTCAGGAGAAGCTGCAGCAGGAGATCACTGAGCTGAAGAGGAAAGACGCTGAGCTGGAGCAGCTCTCACACACAGAGGATCACACCCAGTTTCTCCTCAACTACCCCTCACTGCCAGCACTCAGTGAGTCTACAGGATCATCCAGCATCAACATCCGTCCTCTGAGACACTTTGAGGACGTGACAGCAGCTGTGTCAGCTCAGAGACAAACTACAGGATGTTCTGAGAGACTCATGGAGAAACATTGAACTGGCAATGACTACAGTAGAGGTTTTGCTGTCAGAACAAGAACCAAAGACCAGAGCTGAATTCCTAACTTACTCAAAACAAATAACTTTGGATCCAAATACAGCACATCAAAGTTTGTCATTGCTTCAGAGAAACAGAAAAGTATCGTTAATGAATCAGACATATCCTGATCATCCAGACAGATTCACTGGTTGGTCTCAGGTTCTGAGCAGAGAGAGTCTGACTGGACGTTGTTACTGGGAAGTGGAGTGGAGTCAGGACTGGGAAGTGGAGTGGAGTCAGGGAGAAGGTGTTGAAATAGCAGTTTCATACAAGAATATCAGCAGAACAGGAAGATTAGATGAATCTAAGCTTGGCTTTAATGACAAATCTTGGGCATTACGTTGTAACAGTAACTTTTGCACATTCTGGCACAACAAAGTAAGTACTTCCATTAAACGTCCAGTTTCCTCCAGAGTGGGAGTTTACCTGGACCACAGAGCAGGTATTCTGTCTTTCTACAGCGTCTCTGAATCCATGACTCTCCTGCACAGAGTCCAGACCAGATTCACTGAGCCGCTACATGCTGGACTTTGGCTGTTTAATCATGGAACTGCTGAGTTTATCTTGGTTAAATAGAGTAACTGAACATGCATAATAAAACGTTTTCTATTCAAACTAACAGCTCAAAACAGTTCATCACTAAGTATCCACGCACCCAAAGTCACACTGAGAAGCTGGAATTAAATCCACAATTTTTTTTACGTTACCTATAGCTCCAGTCCTGATGACATGATGACAAGACAGTGAAGCTAATCGTAATGAATTTCATATTAAGATCATTACAAAAAGAAAAGAGTTAAATGTAAAAACACTTAGGACATTCAAATTGTCATTTTTAACTGGCTGGACTATGCAGACAGTTAAGGCAAAAAATATAAATATAAATTTGGAGACACAGAAAAATCAGGGCAGGAGTTGTGTAAATGTAAATTTCTGTGTCTTTCATGTCACTGATTCTGAAGTACGCAAATTGAATTCTATCTTTTCCCACAACAAGGACTTTTGTATGTGGGTTAAAACTTCCAGATTCATAAACCACAATGTGTTTTTGGCATGCTGTACTTTTGCACCACTAGTCTCACACACAAGAGGTGCAGGTGAATCCACAGCCACTGTTCTGATGGATATT